TCTCAACAGTAAAGGCTTTTTTTTTTATCTCTGATGTGTCGATCACCTCAAGGCTTGTTGCTTCTCATTAAAACATCACAAGTTCCTGTTTACGTATAGCGCAGGTCACAAGTTAGTTACAAGTTCTTTTTGAATCACACACTTGTGTCAAGAAATGTGCAGCATTAGAGCCAGTACACGGTGCCTAAGAGGAAAGCTTAGGTCATCAGAGTCCAGCTGAAGTGTTCTTGGAGTTGGTGGCAACACAAACTTTCAATGTGGAGCTGTTAGTCGAAAGTTACAGTTAAAGAAAGCTCATCTTCGAGCACAAAAAAAATAATTAAATCAGGTCATCTGGAGTTTCTTGTTGGGAGAAACGTTTCGTCTTTCATCCGAAAGACTTCATCAGTCTGAGTTCTGTTTCAAGTCAGCCCTCTGTGGAATTCCCTGACGCTATACATGCAAAGAGGGACCAGCCGTCCCAAACGATCCATCATCATGTACAACAATCAAATGCTTAAAGACAGATGGCCAACTTGCTACTCACAGAAACAGCCTGAGGACAACTGGCCAAAATAGTTCAGAAAAAGAAGCTCAATCATTCAGGTAGATAAATCACACACACACAAAAAAAAAAGTTAAATCGTGTCATCTGGACAGTTTATTTTTGGGAGAAACGTTTCGTCTTTCTTGTGAAAGACTTCATCCATCTGAGGTCTGAAACATTTGATTGTTATGCACTGATGATTGATTGTTTTGGACGGATGGTCCCCTTTTTACATGTGTAAAGCCAGTTTCTGGGAACTCCACAGAGGGCTGGCTTGAAACACATCAAGGAGGTGCTACTGATAAGACTGATCTGGGTTGACAGGCCCTAGGCCGATGAAGTTTTTTGGGATGAAAGACGAAACGTTTCTCCCACAAAGAAACTGTCCAGGTGACACGATGTACCCGTTTTTGTGATTTGTCTACCTGGATGGTTGAGCTTTCAAACCTTGTTTTTGTCTTTGAGCACTTTCCTGCTACTTCTTGCTTTTGATTGAGTTTAGTGTGTTGAGTCAGATTTACCCAGTTTATTCTTGTGAGAGATAATTCAAGCTAAAATAATAAAACAATAAAAATACAAAAACATCCTCAAGGCAAAATTCTTGATTTGGTGCATTGTTTATTCTGTTTGCTTGATGGTCAGCATGTATCACATGGAAACTTGCAGTTTTTCCGTCACACAAAATTCGGACACTTTATTTGCAATAGAGGAAGGAAAAGAAAAACAAGGAGAGAATTTGAGAAAAAGTCCAAAATTGTAAAGGTTCGGGACTCTAGCAGAAAAATGCTGCAATATTTTTACAGTAAAAAGCAAATGATCTTTGCACAAACAGAAGGCTGATGTGTTCCTGATTGAAAGGAACTACATTCTTCCAGTAAACAATAGGTCTTTAAAGAGGAAACCGACAAGCAGATGGAGCATAAATCAGCGTTTATTCTTTTTTTATTTTAATCTTTCATCTACATGCTAACAGGTTTTGGTGTGAAAAACTCTTTCCAAAAGGTGCAATAAAGTTAAGTCAGGTCCTCTGGACGGTTTCTTTGTATTAACATGTTTTGTCTTTCATCCAAAGGACTTCATCAGTCCAAGGAGCCACAACAAACTCAATCCCATAGGCACACTCACATAGTGGGCCAACCAGTTTGATGGCGATAAGATGGTTTCTGGGGTCCACCCTCTCCCCCGTCGACTCCTCTGAGGCAGCCATGGCCAAAGTGGTTCAAAACATCAAAGTTCATGCTCAGTAATCCAGATTTAAAAAATCAACCACTTTGGCTATGGCTGCCTCAGAGGAGTCTTATCACCATCAAACTGGTTGACCCACTATGTGAAGGTGCTATTTATAAGACTGAATTTGTTCTGGCTCCTCGGACTGATGAAGTCCTATGGATGAAAGACAAAACATTTCAACACAAAGCCGTCCAGAGGACCTGACTTAACGTCGTTGGATTTTTTTTTTTTTTTTAACCTGGATTATTGAGCATGAACTTTGATCTTTCCAAGGTAGAGATTTTTTAAAAACTGCTGTGTTCATGTGGACACAATTTACAGAACTTTAGAGAAACGCTAACATGGCGTTATGTTTCCCACATGTCTGCTATTCCTCTGTGCCAGAGAAACACACAGTGCAAAACATTTTCAAGAAAAAGTTTCTAATAAATCAATAATAAATGACTGAATCGATGTTTTGTGTTTGCAAAAGAATGAACCCAAGCCAGAAAAAGGAGAAGGTGCAGTTTTTATTGTAGTTAAAAGTCAGGGGATTATTCAGTAGAGTACTTGTTTAATAGCTGAAGCCATAGATTTGAGTCATTTCCCTTGCTCCAAATGTCAGAGTGCTTATGAATAACCTTTTATTTACTCATTTAACAGAACCCAGAATCTGGGTTTGCCTTTTTATCTGCAAACTGGATCCACTGATCTATGCCATCCACATTTTTTCACCGTTATAAAACTGCATGCTCATTTAACAGCGGCTCCAGAGTGAGGAACTTGCATAAGGAGATTTTATTACGTCTCACTGTCTCCAAGTTTAAACTACTTTCCCAAATCTCCAGCTTTTCATAAATCACGAGCTCCCTGTCTCATTTCACTGATGAACAGCATCAAAACATGTCGGAGTTTTCTTTGCAGTGTTGCATGATCACCATCGCTCTCTTTTCTTCCTCATGTTACGAATCTTGTGGTTTTGTCTCAGACAGGCACAGAGAGAGGCTCTGTCTTTTGCTCCTCCTTGATGTGCAGTCGCAGTCAGACGTCTGAATCCGAGCCAAAGGTTACACAAGTACGCTATGCCATTCCTCCACCGCATTTATTTTTCTTTGCCTCGACTCCACTTTGAAATCAGAAGAAACTCAGTTTAATTCTCGTGAACTGTTTTCTGGTTTGTCGTTT